AGTTTGGTTTGTTGGTTTTGGGTTTGTTGCATGTGTGTGTGTATGTGTGTGTTATTTTGTTATTATTAATTTTAATGAAAATTTAGAGATTTTGGATTTCCATTCATTCATTGTTGCACTTTTCTCCCTGTCCACCCCTCCCTTCCAGTTCGTCCTTCTCTTTGAAAAGTAAAAGAAAAATTCTTTCATTGTTATACAATCCCTACCCCCAAGTCCACTCCACTATGCAGCCTTCGTTCTGGACTTCTGTCATGACAATAGTACCTAATCATATATACCTTTTAAACTGTTCTCTCTTGGGGGAGCTCTGGTGGCCTAGTGGTAAGGAGCTGCAACTACAATCTCAGAGGCACATGGTTCAAATCCACCAGATGCTCTTCCAGGGAAGGAGGGACAATCTTCTCCTGTACCAGTCAGATCTGATTTGACAGTACACTCACACAAAAATAATAAAATAAAAATTAAAAACAAAACAAAAACCTGTTCTCTCTCATCTGTTTCAATGCAGTATACATAATTTATCCCATCTTTCTCAGTCTCCACACCACCACCACCCGAACCGCTATGTCAGTCCCATTTTATGACAGTGGCACTATGAAATATTTGTCATTTTGTTACCGAGATATTTCACTCAGTATAATGTCCTCCAGGCTCATCCATTTTGAATAATATTTCATTGGCTCCTTGTTTTTCAATGCAGCATAGTATTCCATTGTGTGAATAGACCACAGCTGCTCTATCCATTTGTTTGTTGATCGGCACTTAGGTTGTTTCCAACTCTTTGCTATTGTGAACAAAGCCACGATAAACATGGGTGTGCATATATCTGCTTTGGTGGTATTGTTTTGTTTTAAGAAGACTTCAGGGGAGCTCTGGTGGCCTAGTGGCAAGGAGCTGCAACTACAATCCCAGAGGCACACGGTTCAAATCCACAAAATGCTCTGCCGGGGAAGGAGGGACAATCTCCTCCTGTACCAGTCAGATCTGATTTGACGGTACACGCACACAAAGATAATAAAATTGAAAAAAAAAAACTTCAGGAGATATTCTTAATTTAAGGTTCAAAGATTATCTCATGGTAGCAGTCTCAGGGGTTCACCCAGCCTCCCAGGCTCCAGAAAATCTTGAAAGTCCACAAGTATTTGAAATTCTGTTCTACACTTTCTCCCTTTTGATCAGAATTTTTCAAAGGGATCTTTGATCACAATGTTCAGTAACAGTTAGCTGGGCAGCATCCATTCCTTCTGAGGTCATAGGAAGGGAGGCTGTTACTCATGGAGGCGACTGGCACACACTGACATCCTCCTCTTACTCCTGCCCCTCCTCCTTCCTCTGTTGCTGCAGGTGAGTAGACTAACCATTGTGCTTTTGAGGGCCACCTGCAAGGTTTTAAGACCCCTGACACTAGCTAATGAAGTAGGAACCAGAACTAAAGCATCAGACATGTTATTAGGCCAATTAACTGGGATGTTCCATGAAACCATGATCTTTAACCTCTAAACAGAAGAACCAAACCTCATGATGGCTGGTTGTATATGAGCAGACCCAGCAATTACTTCTTTTTTGGGTCACTGTTGTTAAGTATATCACAACTTTTGCCAGTTTCACTTTTTACAGGTGGTAATTGGCAGGGCACCCTACCCTAAATCAGCATGATTTTTCCATCACCCTTAACTTCCCTTTTTCTTCCTTCCTCCTGCCCCTGATAGTCACTAATAAACTTTGGTCTCTATGAATTTGCAGTATTTTGTTTTTCTCTTTTACATTAGTGCTGCTGGTTGGGTGTCATCGAGATGATTCTGACTCATGGGACAAGAGGCGGCACTGCTGGTCCTGAGCCATCCCCACCATTGTCGCATGTGTGAGCTCCCTGCTGCAGTCTCTGTGTCAGTCCGTGTCCTTGAGGGTCTTCCCTGTGTCCACTGACCTGTTTTACCAAACACATTGCCGTCTCCTGGGGCTGGTCCCCTCCTGATAACAAGTCCAAAGGACCTGGGATGAAATCTTGACATCCTTGCTTTTGAAGAAAGAGTAGTTTAGCTACGTACCTCCCTTTCTCTGAAGCTCTCCTTCCCAGAGCATAATAGCCTTCTCTGTAGAGTGAGCTCACCTGGTAACATGCCCAAAGTCCTTCCTCTCAAGAGCATTCCGGCTGTACTTCTTCCAAAACAGATTTGTTGGTTCCTCTGGCAGCCAATGGTATAGTCAATATTCTTTGCCAATGCCATAATTCAAAGGTATCAGTATAAGGTACAAGTGAGGTCATAACAATATTCGTTCTTTTGTGACTGACTTTATTTCATATCAGTGTTGCTTTTAAAGTGCTGAGGAGGAAAACCAGCTCCCTGCTTGGGTCCCAAGTGAGGCGAGGCTCTGCTGCCTCGATGACATGATATTGTGGGGTGGGTCAAAAAATGCCAAACACATTGCCATCAAATCAGAGCAGGCTCATGGCTGACCCCTCAGCAGGTTTTCAGAGGTTGTAAATTACACAGGAGTCCGCTCTTTGCCCCTCAGAGCGAGTGGAGGATTTGAACTGCCAGAGAGAGGTGCCAGCTTGGGGTTAGCAGTGCAGCTTCTTATGGTTCGTGGTGGGATGGGCAGCAGGGGAAATCCCCACAACACGGGGGATCCCACTTTCTCCCAGGCCCTCCCCAGAGCCAGTCCTTTCTAAGAGGAGAAAGCTGCTATTCTCATTTTAGGGTTCTTCAGGGAACCCCCCTGCTCCTCCCTCTCCAGCTCCCCACTCCCAGCCTCACTCCAGGGAGGAGCTGGAGACACCTGGGGTGCCAGGATCTTTGAGGTTCCTAGGGCACAGATATCATCCTGTCAGTGGCCCAACAGACTGTGGGGGTTGTGGGAGCTATCTTTACCCCTTAGGAGATTTATCTAGCAATTTATACTGGAGATGAGGATGTAGGTCACAGAAGGTGGGAGAGTGAGCAGTAAAAATAAATTTTTCAAGTGTCCTAGAGGAAGACCATACAGGTGTGAGTTCATGAATTCCTGTTTGTTCCAGTCTTAAACCATGCAAAACCAAACCCAATTCATTATCAAGTATTATCACCTCCATTTTTAAAAAAATTTATTTTATTATTTTGCGTGTGTGCACCATCAAATAAGAACCGACTGGTACAGGGGGAGATTGCCCCTCCTGCTCCAGCTGAGCATCTGGTGGACTTGAACCATGTACCTCTGGGATTGCAGTGCAGCTTCTTGCCACTAGGCCACCAGAGCTCCCTTATCACCTCCATTTTTCAGATTAAAAAAAAATCCAAGTTTCAGGAGTTTGCCAAAAGTCACAGTGTTAAGTGGCAGTGGAGATTTGAACTCAGGCCCTGAGGTTTTCCACTCCAGGATTCCTGGAGAATATGGAATTTGGGCCTGGAAGGAGGAGGCATTCCTGGGATGAGAACATTCAGGAGAAACACTGGAGGCTGGATTATGTATGTGGTCTAGACAGGTAGACTGGTCTAACTGGTAGACTCTGGTGGAAAGTGGCAGAGAGAATGAGGAGAATGGGTGGGTGTGGGGATGAGGCACATTCAGAAGGGACCTTGGACTGTTGGATGTGGCTCTGGGAGTGGATTTCAGTGGTGGGAGCTGGAGAAAGTGGAGAACTGAAGAATGACAAAGTGGAGAGAGAGCCAGGGCTTCCACCTCAGGGATGAATTCTTACATATGTTACATTTGCTGAGCTACCAGGATGGGGATGGACGCAAGCTTCTTGGAGTTTGTGGTAAGACATTTGAAACCATCGCATCTGAATTCCTCTTTTACAACTGAGGGAGCTGAGGCCCACAGTAGAGCAGTAATGGGTCCTGCTCCAAGTCACAATGAGAGTTCAGGTAAATTATCTCCTTTCCACCCAGGGCAGGTTTCCCAGCTCCACATGCCCTCCGTGTTAGCTTTCAGAAGGGGGCCAGCGGAGGAGCTACTTATTCAGGTCACATCTTCAGAAAAGTGAAAGAAACAGTGAGAAGAGGATTCCAAGATCCCAAGACTGAATCTTGGGGGAGGCAGTTAGGGCTGGAAGGTTCTTCAGGGTCTGGGAGCTGATTCAGGGTAGGCACTTACAGCATCAGATGAATGAATGAGTGTGAGGGAGACAAAGGAAAAGAGATTGACTGGGGCAAGGGGTGGAAGGAGTGCAGGCTAACAACAGGTCCAAGGGGGCCAGATTTCACGATGTACCAGATGCTTCAGCCAGAAGGGAGGAGAGAGCCTGAACCTGGTAATTAGCAGATTTTCCAGTGACCTTGGAACGGACAGTCCCAGTGCAGTTTCCAAACAGCAGCCTCTACAGAGATGAGGAAGGGAAGGAAGAAGAGCAGGGAGGCAGTGGGTGAATGTGGACCGAGGAAGCAGCAAAGACCAGACGGTGCCTCCTTCAAGGATGAAGTTGTGTTGGTTTCGGGCAGAGGGAAGTAGAGAATCCGAGCGGAAAAACTGACAAGGCTTGTAGGGGTGGGCTGAGAGTACCCGATGGTGTGACTGAGGAAGGACAGGCTTCCTTGGAAGAAGAACAAAGAGTAGGAAGACGCTGAAGGGAAAGTGACGGCAGGATGAGGCAGTGCCTGGTGAGTCCCGAGCCAAGGTCCTCTGCAGAGGGAGGGGGTGAAAGTGGAGCTGGGACTCAGAAGGAGGTTTCAACAACCCCCCCATGCCAGCAAGTCCTGAGGGGCTTAATGTACGTCAGCCATGCGCACCTGTAGTGGGCTAGGTCTCAGGTGCTCTAGGGTCCCCTCTCCCTCTCGCTTGAAACACACAGCCTGACAGAACTGTCCAAGGTCACGGCCTTGGTGCAAGGAGAGTCATGACCTGGGCAGGGGAAGAAGAGGCCACCTGTGAGGGGTTGGAAAGGAAGGTGCCAAGTGGTGATGAGGGGACTGGAGCAGGGCTGGAGGTCACCCAGGAAGTAACATCAAAGCCACTGTCAGGCACTTAATGTTGCTGCCGAGGGCGACAGCGGTATGGGGAGATGTTGGGGTGTTGGGGACTCAGTCTGGCAGGTCAGCATGCTCAGTGAGCATGCTCGGGCAGCAGACGTCTGAGGAAGGGCAGCACTGTGGAAACAGAGGGGACAGAGCCCAGAGCCAGACACGGGGCCTGAGGAAGGAATGCAGCAACCCCTCACACAACCACCAAGCAGGTGGCGGACTAGGCAGGAGGCACTCACACAGCTTTTCTGGTCTGTAGAAGCCTGGGGGGTCTGCTCCGCTCCCTCGGGGCCCTCACCTCCGCCATGGTCACTAGAGGGCAGGTCATGGACTGGACATACACATGACAGCCCCTCTTTTGCAGTTTATTACAAACAAGTTTATTTACATCCCTGAACAAAGATTGATTGTAAAATTTCACGGGAACGGCCTTAAAATGGTGAACATGACCTCTAAGGCGGCTGTACATTCTATTTCCAAACTAACAACTCAGGTCCTCAGCGCAGCTAGGCCCCCTCCTTCCTCCCAAATGAGACACAGAATAGCACCAGGCTTCTGGCAGCTTCAGCATTTAAAGAGACAAACACACAGGCAGAGAGGGGTGAGAAGAACCACAGTCCACACTGAAATAAAAGAACAAAAATGTGGCCAAAGAATCAATAGCAAAGCCATTTCTGCTTCCAGATTAATGGTGTGGCTAAAATAAGTGGGGGGAGGTCCCTGGGGAGGGTGGGAGATGCACAAGTTGGCAGGTGAAACCCTGACCCTGAAGAGCAGAAGGCAGGGGCAGGCAGCCCGGGCTGAGGAAGTAAAGAGCTGAAAGGGGTCCCCAGAGGGGGCTCTGACTAGCTCCTAAGCTGGGGGCCAGAGCTGGGCCCCACTAAGTAATGGGGGGAGAGCTGTAAGTGCCACAGCCGGGCCCCTCCTCTGCTTCATATGTTCCTGAGAAGCTGTGCGTGGGGGGCTGGGGGAGGGGATACACACACAGAGGCCTTTAGAAAGCAACAGAGCCACAGGCTTGCGGGAAAGGAGGCTGGGGCCGGGGGAGGACACCAACAACTCAGCCTGGACGCTGGAGAGGCCAGTGTCATGGGGGACTGGGCCACCAGGCCAGGCCAGGGCCAAACCACTGTGGGTGCTGTCTGCTCAGGAGCATGGCTGAAGAGGGAAGCAAAACCCCTAGCCCACCTCTTGGGATCGTAACCAAAGGTGTGCCTACCCTGTGGGGAACAGCGAGAGTGACCACTGTCGACTCGTTCTCCGAGAGCAGACCTGGGCTCTTCTGGCTCCCGACATGAACCTGGGGCTCCGCTTCTGGCAGCCTTGGCTGGGACGCAGGACTCAGTGAGGTGTAACCCATGTCTGTGGCCCTCAAGCACAGAGCCTGGCTGGCCAGGGACTCACAGGAGCACTTCTCTGCCAGCACTGGGCTGGGCTGGTCCAGATGGAGGCCAAGGAGACAGGCGATTGGAGAGGTTGGTGTCCTACAACTACTGGGAGCAGCTGGTCCCACCACTGGTGGGCGGGCAGTGAGGGAGAGGTGGATGGCTCTCTAAAGCCCCTGAAGGGGGCTCTGTGCAGACAGCTGAGTGCAGGGGGACAGCTGCCAGGCCCAGAGCTGTGGGGCTGCAAGGGGGCGGGTCAGCCTCCTGAGGGACAGGGCTGGGGGCTACCTGCTCAGGGTCTTCCAATCCTGGGAGCCATCCTCCCCCAGCCCAGGGGGGCTGTGTGGCCCAGAACTCTGTTGACCTGTCTGTGGGCTGCAAAGGAGAGGAGTCTGGGAGAGAGAGACACGTCTGTGGGTGACATAAAGGCAGGAGGGTGGCCAGGGGCTTGGGCTTGTGGCCTGATAGGGGAAGAGAAGGGAGCTGGAAGTCACAGGTAGTCTGGGTGCTGCAGGGTCCAGGGGTTCTCAGCACCAAGGATGCAGCCTGTGGCTGGACGCTCCCTGACCTCCTCTCATCACTGCCACTGGGAGATGAAACCTTCCGCCTGTGGCCAACTAGAGCCAAGTCTAGGCCAGAGGAGGGGTCTGTGAGACCAGAACTGGTCAGCAGATACTGGCAAACAGGGCTCCTGGACTCCAGGGTTCCTGGAGAGTCCCCAAAAGCATCCACTGGCCCCTGAAACTTCTGGCAGCTTGCTACTGTGAACACGTCATCGGTCCCTGCAGACTCAGCTGGTGACTTCTTACTGCTCACTGTTCCATTCTGCCCTGGGGACCCCGGGGCCTGGTAGTTGTCTTTCTCCAGACAGAGACTGTCACAAGCAGAAGCGAAGAAGCCTGGCCTTCTGTGGAGATAAATATCCAGTGAGCCACAGGCCTCAACTCCAGAGTGGGCTGCAGGACGGGGTCCTTCCAGGCCAAGGCTGAGGGCAGGGACGGAGCGGGGGGAGAGGCGCACACAGAGCCACTTCGGAGTTTTGATGGGTGGAGAGAAAAGCTGTCTACTCAGTGTCCTGAGAAAGGCCTGCCCTTTGAGTCTGACCCCACCGCCGCCAGCAGTGCTCTCTCTGTCTCTCTTGGCTCTGTGGCCTGTGGTTGGAGCTGGCCAGAGGGACAGCTGGAAGCTCTTCCATTTAATGACTTCACAGAGGAAGCCATGCCCTTTAGCAGCTGGAGAAAGCAGCCCAGAGTGTGGCTGCCCAAGGGGTGCCCGGAAGTGGAGATGTGGGGTGAGAGGTGAAGCCATAACCCCAGCTGGGAAAGGTGGACTGCAGGGGGCTCAGAGGGCCCGAGAACGCCTACCAAAGTCAATGCAATCCTTCCCTCTGGGGAGAAAGCCTAATGGGGAGCAAAGACCTTGTTCTTCACTCAGCGTGGAGAACAGTAGGACTCGGAGCACATGATAAGAGATACAGGCCCGGGAGCCATATGGCTGACCTGCTCCCCACTCCTGTTTTGTTAGTGCTTTGAGTCAGGGAAGACCAACCCGGTCCCAGCCTGGCCCTAGTCAGCTGGAGCAAAACAAACAGGATGGAGGATAGAGGGGATGGAGAGGAAAAAGCAACAAGAAAAATGCCACAGTCTGGTCCCCACTTATGTCAGTCTGAGTGTTACTTCCCATGTAGAGATGGCAAGAGGGGAGTGGACTGAGCCTGCCGCAGGGGTGCTCACCTGGGGGCCTGGGGAGCGATGTCTGTGCAGCTGTGGTTGAGCTGGGCGATGATGCGATCGACTTCTGCATATGGATGGGCTTCCAGGGCAAAGCGCCTGTGCTGGACACTCTCGAGATGCTGCCAGGTGAGAAGCGTACAGAGCATCAGACAAGGGAGATAAACAGACCTCCCAGTCTGGCTCCATTCACTGGAGGGCATGGCCAAGCCATAATGACGACCCTTGTCAGGAAGGTTCATCAAGTGGCTGGTCCCATGCGCTTGTCCGAGGCAGGCCAGGCATTCAGAACAGTCCGGGGAGAGACGCTCGATGGGGAAGGGGCTTACCACGTGGAGCTCCTCGAAGGCCTCCTGGCAGCACTCACAGTACCCTCTCTTTCTCCTGGGCACAGTGCCGACGGTCGACTGTGGCCTGGGTTCTCGAGCCTTAGGTTCTCTGGAGAGGGTACAGGGTTAAAAGGAGTGGTCATTCCCGAGGACCCCAGAGGCTGGCAGAAGGAGCTGCTTTGGCAGGGCCTGTGGCCTTGACAGAAAGCTCCCAAGCCAAGATAGGATCAAGATGCCCAAGGGGTCAGGAAGGCATCTGTCTGATGGCAAGAGAGGCAAGGAGGAAAGTGGGGCCCCTGTGAGTACCCTGTCCCATCCCTGTCCTTTCCTCACCCACACATCAAACCACAGGGTGGGCAGCAGGGGCAGAGGCAAAAATTCTTTTTAAGAATTAGAGCCCTTTGCCCATTCTCAACTCATATTCCCCTGACCTTCAGGAAGAGAGGGCAAAGCTCCCCATGGCAGCTGGGGGACAGTTCTGCCCTCACCTCCTCCACCCTGAACACACCGCCTCCTTGGCAATATCCACTCTGTTCAGCCTGTGACCTCCTCACGCCAGCTCATCCCTTGCACAGCTGCCACCTTTCACTGAGGACTTGCCATCTGAACCTCAGCCCCATGCTTCGGCAGGGCATTGCTATCTGGCTGTCCTAGCAAATCCAAGTCCAAAACATTCCCTTTAAGGATTTTCTAAGTTTGCCTTAAAACCCAGAAAATGTACAGAAAAGCTGGAAGTTCAATTACACACAATTTTTTAAAACCTGCATGGCAAGAAACTTACCAAGTGAAGTGTCTCCTTTTTTTTAAAAAAATTTTTTAAATTTTGTTATTTTTGTGTGTGTGTACCGTCAAATCAGATCTGACTGGTACAGGAGGAGATTGTCCCTCCTTCCCCGGCAGAGCATCTGGTGGATTTGAACCATGCACCTCTGGGATTGTAGTTGCAGCTCCTTGCCACTAGGCCACCAGAGCTCCCCTTAAAGTATCTCTTTTAAGGCAGAGGACAAACTGGACTGGAGCTCGGGTGAGGAAGGGAGTTCTACAACTAGTAACACAAAGGGTTAATTTCCCTAATACATGAAAGGCTGCTCTTAATCAAATCAGTAAGAAACTGATCAATTACCCAACAGAGAAATGGGCAAAAGATATGATGTATGTTCCCATAAATCAAACATGAGGACAAACTTGACTTCATCAGAATAGGGAAAATGTAAAACTACTAGTAAAACAGTTTATAATCTATCAGAATGGCAGACGTTAACAAGCCTGACAGCAACAAGGAAGGAGTCGGCAAGCAGCTCCCACAGTGCACCCAGACCATAAACTGGTATAACCTCCGCTGACAAGAACCGGGCTACATCTGGGTATCATGTTGAATATTTCCTGCCTTTAGAAATTAATTCCACAGGTTAACCTGGATAATGTTAAGATTATTCATTGCAGTAGTGTTTAAAATAAGACTGGAAATAACCCAAGCCTCCCTCAAGAAAAGACTGGCTCAAAATCTGGTCAATCCATCATAGGACAGGATTCCCATAAAAAGGAATAATGCTCTTCAGATACAAATTGGGAACTAAACTATGTTGAGTGCAGATGCTGCACAATGAATATTAGGGTACTCTAGTTCTACAAAGGAACAGAGAAGCGGTATATATATACATATGTGTGTGTGCTCATATATACATATATTTGTGTGTGTGTGTGTATATTTGTGCTCATATATACATATATTTGTGTGTGTGTATATATTTGTGCTCATATATACATATGTGTGTGTATATATTTGTGTGTGTGTATATATATATATTTGTGCTCATATGTACATATATTTGTGTGTGTATATATATTTGTGTGTGTGTATATATATATTTGTGCTCATATATACATATATTTGTGTGTGTGTGTATATTTCCCCTATAACTCTCAAATCATGTATACTACTGTCCAAAACACACTAAATTTTAAAAAATTAAACACTTGCTTATAAACAGATTTTTATACACACACACCTGCCAAGCCCTACTGCTCCACACTTGAGCCAGTCCCCCCGAAAAGCTCTTCCACATCAGATTCATTACTGCCCTTGTCTTGACCTCTGTGACCCTAAGGTCACCCCAGGCTGAACCCCCTCTGCTGGCTCTAAGCCCAGACATTCTCTGGAGGCATTGGTAAATTCATCCCAGCTTGTTCCCCACTTCTTCTCCACTCTGTTCACTGTTAGTAGAACCTACAAACCCTCCTTAACCTCGAACTCTGGTTTAGAGCGCTGTCCTGCTCTACTCTCCTGGTCTGTGAACTATCAGAAAAGGTCTGAGGTACACCTAGTCCACTGCCCCAACAACCAAGTTGCATTACTTTTCCACTTTGGTCAGGGAGCTTTCATCACTAGAACAGGAACATCAACAAACTTATAAGCTTCCTTGGGTCACACAAAGTGGCATGTCCCACCAGACCTTAACTCTTCATTCTTCCTAACATTTAGCCCAAAGGATCTCAAAGAATCTCCTGGAAAGCGAGTGAGAACAGAGCTTGTGGGGCTCCAGTCAGGTGTTCTGCAGGTCTGGAGAGGAGTCTAAGAACCTGCACTTTTAACTGGACCCCGTGGACTGTAAGGGGTAGTGGTCTACAGATGCACATTTGAGGGTAAAATCTACTGTCCTTCTGGACACTTAAATTCTTCAACAGGGCTGAAGAACCTCAAATAAAAGGGACGAATACTTGTCTCTTCTCTCGGCTAACTTCCCAGAATAGACCTTGCCTAAGGAACTAACACATGGCCACTTCCAAATCTGACCAGCAGGTCCCCAACGGGAAGGCCTTTGGCCCATAACTAGTTGCTGGTGCTCAGGAACCAGAAAGACCCACCTGGTGTGGTGCGAGCTGCCCGAGGTCGTTGTGGCCTCAAAGGGACTTGCATCTTTGGGTCCCAGAAAAGAAATTTCAGGAAAGGATTTAAATTGATGGTGGAAAGGACGAAACTTCCTGAAACACAGAAAACTTTCACTTTGACAGCAGTGGGGGAGGGAAACGCTGAGAAGAGGGGGCTAATTCCAATCCTGGCAACAAAGTCAACCTCATCTCTACATGTTTTTATTTCTAAAGCAAAGCTCTCATCAATATTAGTAGGTTAAGCTAACACTAGGCTTTCCAAAGCCTGCTCACTCTCACAGCCTCGTCGGAATCTCCTAACCACTCACTGGAGGGTGGAACGGGTGACACTCTCCTATTTCAGAGAAAAGGAAGTGGAGTGTGAAGTGTGACCCGCTCAAGGGCTCACGAGCAGCCCAGACCAGACAGCTCCCTCCAGCCTGAGTTCTCATCTTCTCATTTTGCTTTTTGACCCTAAAACCACCTCTGAGGATTCTAGGCTGGAAGAGGCTAAATGGAAACATGTTTACCACTTAGGAGCAAGGATGAATTTTTGCTCTAGGCTGGTGTTTCTGTTCAGAACATCCCCCCAGAGATAAATAAACAGAGGGGAGACGCACAGTGGAGTCTGGATAGATAAACTTACATTGAGGGGTTCTGGCAATTTATCTCAAGCTACTCACATTTTTTTTTAAAAAAAAATATTTTATTATTTTGTGTGTGTGTGCTGTCAAATCAGATCTGACTGGTACAGAAGACTGCCCCTTCTTCTCCAGCAGAGCATCTGGTGGAGTTGAACTGCGTACCTCTGTGATTGCAGTGTAGTTTCTTGCCACTAGGCCACCAGAGCTCCCTTCAAGTTACTCACATTTAAGAAAGTTCCGGAGCTACACTTGTGATTTGTGGATACTCAGTGAACCCCAATTAGATCAGCGCCAGGAAATGGTGTTTGATTGCAAAGGCCAGTGCTCTGTGGGAGTGTGGGCCTTGGTTTCCTGGGTGGCCTCAGAGGGGAATTAACAAATGAGGCTTCTAGGACCAAGGAGGAGGTACCTTCACCCTCTGACACCCTTTCTTCCTCCTCAATTTTATTTTGCTATTACATACTATCAAGTCAGGACTACCCATAGCTGACCCGCCAGTGGGTTTTCAGAGGCAGTTAATGACATGAAATGAGACTTCCTATCTTTCTCCAGTAGAGCAGCTGGAGGATTCGAACCAGGCGCCTTTGGGTTGGCTATGTAGCTCTTTCCCATTCGGCTACCAGAACACCCTTGTTTCCATTTAAAATAAGGCTTGAAAGTTGAGGTAAGGCTAATGGGCCTACAAGAGCACCTGCTTCAACAAAACAGCAAGAATCACAAGCAACTTCAGCTCCGCTTGGTTCACCTCTTGTCTACAACGCCTGCGACATCTCAGCAAGTACTCCGACTCTCCATGACTGCACTGCTGTGTGTGGCCGTCACTGGGGCACTAACAGACTCTCACCTGCTGCATACAGCCCATGATGACTTGCATTTAACTGACGGTGTTAAAGGACACGTGCCCCACCCCACTGTAAGTGAGAAGGAAGCACGACAGCACCTTTCCGCCAGCTCCTGGGCCTTCAAAGCCAACTCCCCACTGTCTGCAGGAGCTGGGAAAGATTACGCTCCCCGGGAGGACACATGTCCACATGCCCCGGGCTTAAGAACACAGAGCGGATTCTAGACTTTCTGAAGGGCTAATTTTCTACTTTGAGTTGATTCTAGACACAAACTTTTTTTTTTTTAATTTTTCTTTTCTTGTTGTCCGACTGGCACAGGAGGAGATTGCTCCTCCTGCTCCAGCAGAGTTTCTGGTGGATTTGAACTGCACACCTTTGGGATTACAGTGCAGTTTCTTTGCCCCTAGGCCACCAGAGCTCCCTTAGACACAAACTTCTGATGACACAAACTTCTGGAAGATGTGGTCACAACCCAGGGAGACAATTGGTTATCAAGTTAACATCACTAATGTGGCCCTCTTGCTCTAGGTAAGATGGGACCATTATAGTGGACAGAAGACAAAGTGGAGAAGGTATTAAGCAGGGCAGTGAGGACACTGAGATTCTAGCCGTGGACTAAAACGCATTAGCAAGGTAGTTGGACAAGTCTTTTCATTTCTCCGCACTCAGTTTTCCCCACCGGGGAGCACACGGACACTCCTCAGGCTGTTTCTCTCTCAGGGCCAGCATGAGAGAACACAAGCAGGGCAACAGCTTTCTGAGGCCAAACAGAAAGTTTCCCCTGAGCACAGAGGAATGATGAGACCACCCTCACTTCCGCCAGGACAATTCCTCTGACGGTCCTAGCACTGACTGGGCCCAGTAACAATCTGACATGAGATGTCAGCACGCCCAGGAGAAATGGGGGGCAAATGAGCCTGGATGGAGATCAGGAATTCACCACAGCAGGGCATTCAAAGAAAGGTCAGCCTCTGACTCATCTCCAAGAGGATCAACTCTGTTTCACCACTTTCAGAGGTGTCTGTGGGGGATTTCTCTATGAGAGCGGGACAAAGTGGCTTCGAGGCAGGGGACAGTGAAGAACTGAGGAGCTCCATGTCCTTGAATACCTTTTCTCCTCCACTGCAGGCCTTGGCAGCGAGGGGAGAAAGGACATGCCACTTACCTGCTCTTATCTTCAATTTTGAGGAATGGTGCCTTCAGCCTGGCCACTGGAAGGGGAAGATGCACACATCAGCCATGCCTGCCCTGACGCAGGGTCTGTACTATACGTATAGCAAGTGCTCAGAGACATGAGGCTCTGTCAAAGCCCACGAGAACACACACCACCCCAAGCTGAGCCTTTCCCTTTGGCAGAGATGAGGCACCCTCTCCCATCTCCTCCAGCCCTGACCCCTGGGGACGGAAAAAATCCACTGCTGAGGGTGAGGCTGCAGGGTGCCTGGGGCCCTAGGTGAGCCATTCCTCATGTAGGTGAGATCTGGAATCTGGTAACTGACCAAGGATGATGCCACTACCAGGAGAAACCTGGCTGGCTGAGAGAAACCTGACTCCTGCTGGTTTCTGCTAAAAGCAAGGCTGGAGTTGTCAGTGCCAAAAAGCCCCAGGTTCTTTCTAGATCTTTGCTCCCGGTGTCTCAGAGAACATTCATCAGACAGAATTCTCTATGAGGGTCCTGGTGAGAGGGCCTTTGGGGAGAGCAGAGAGGAAGTGAGATAAAGAGGGTTGAGTGATCCCAGCATAGGATGGGAGGAAAATATCAAAGCGAAACCTGGTTCCTGAAACAGAACAAAAAACCAAAATTGGGCAAAGGGGTGGAAGGAGGACAAATCTGAAATCAATCAATCAAGAGATCCACTTCTTCCTGGAAGTTATCTGTACAGATTACAAAACATTATAGATGTTTAGAATTGCTTCTATCTATCCCTCTACACTGATCAGGGTGTCCAAGAAAGGACCAATGAGGCAGTGTGGGAGTCTGGCAGATTTGACAGCCACCAAATCCCACAGAGGCTGGCAGCTCTGAGTCCCCAGCAAACAACTAAAAAATCAGCGTTTCTCCTTGGACAGCAGCAGTACCATTAATTACTTTTTTTGGGTGATTTCTTGTCTTTCTAATTAACTGAGACAGTGATTAAAACCAATTCCCCCACAGACTTCCGAGCATTTCAAGCATGAGAGCGGTGCCAAGTGACTTTCCTCAGCTCCCGCTTGTGCACTAGAAATGCCATTTAAAGAGCATCTTTGAGAGAAACAGGCAGAGAGAGAAACTCTCCTGCCGCCCAAGACGAGCCACTGAGTCCAAGCTTGTCGATCTGCCGCTTTTCAGCATCAGGGAGTTTGGCATTTCTGAAAACAGTAGGCAGCTGTCAAACTGCCCACCCAAAACTGGTTCTGCATCTGAAGAGAAAGGATGCATTTAACTTTAGCCGATGCTCAGGAATAGCCAGAGGACATGGGGCCAAAGTGAGTGCAGGGGCCTTGGCCAGAAAGGAGAAGCCCTGGTCCAACAGCTCTGACTCTTGGACATACCGCTCTCGCCCCAGAAACCTGTGGCCCAGGTCCTGGAACCATGAGGGAGCCACACAACCTGGACTCACTTCCTGCCGCAGAGAACTGAGCAGATGCTGCCACAGAGGGAAGTGTTTAGGGAGGAGGGACCGCAATTAGGAAAGGAGAAGCTACCATACTGACCTTTCCGCATTCTTGACTCTTTTGCTGGACCGGTTCCCTAAATGGAAGAGGAAAATAGGTTAAGGATGTGAGGGAGCCATGGGGGCCAAGGAGCAGGCCTGGGAAGGCCGAGCAGCCAAGTGTCTGCCCCACTTTGCCTCCTGCTCTAGGGAGGCCTGCAGAGCCGACTCTCAGGCCTAAACTGGAGCAGACCTGAGCCCATGGCTCCTTACACCCACCACCCCCTGCCTTCCCAGGGCTGGGGTGAGTGGGGAGCACTTCGGATCTGGCCTGGCAGACCGTGTACACTTGACTCTCTGAAGGGAGCACAGTATGGTGCAAAGCACAAAGTCTCAGGAGTCTCGCAGACCAAGTGGTGACTGGATGTGTGTCATGTTCACTTAGCTCACAGATGTGGCATAAAGTGGACCATGTCAAAGACCAGAGCCCATAGAGTAGACTAGGGCGTGCTAATGGCAACTCTTGTTCTCCTGGCATTTTCCAGGTCAGCCTACAAGACAAGGATGGAGATGAGAGGCAATAGATGCTAATAGAAAGGAGAAGGGTATCACAGTTGGAAAAGTCGAGAGCCAGCAAAAAAGAGGTAGAACCTCAAAAAGGAGGATCAACACAGTGGCTGCAATACTGGGTTTAAGCCTGATGTAGGACTCAACTCATTGCTGTCAGGTCAGATCTGACTCTGTCCAGTAGTCACAAATTGAACAGAAGTCTGCCTGTCTCTCTCTATGGGAGCTGCTGGTGTATTCGAACTACCAGAGGTGCCACCTTTGGACTAGTAGCCGAAGTCCCTAAGGACAAGGACACTAGAGCTCCCTAGTGTCGCAGTAGGCAGTGCTCTATTCTTTTTGTACATGGGGTCGTTAGGAGTCAGAACGGCACCTAACACTACAACCACCTTTGGTTGTTGGACCCTGCTGGTCAAAAGTAACATGGTAAGTCAGGGACAAGCAAAACAGGTGTTAAAACCAAATGAAACAAAATTAAAAGCCAGTTAAATGGTGGTGGTAGGGGGAGTGATAAGATCTGTGAATCCATGGCTGCCTCGATATATGGTCCCAAACAGGTTCCAGATTCTACACCAGGGCAAAGACTACCCAAAGCAGGTACCTACATCACTTGTGGATCAGCAGGTTACATCCAGAACTCCTTCCAAGAGACTCTCAAGTATTTTCAAAACAGATTACTAAGTGGAAAACACAAAGCAGAAATGCTGGGCATTTGCATAAAAGGGTGGAAATTTATGATTTGTTTGCTTGCATAAATGCATAAAGTCCTGAAAGAAGACCTGAGAAAATGTTCACAGTTTATTGCAGGAATGGAACTTAGTGGTTGGGGAACAGATGCCGGGAAAGGAAAAGACCTTTGCATTTGGAACAACGCAAATCTATTTATCAGCAGCAGAAGTAAAAACCCAAATCTCTGTGAGCAGAGGCTGCAGAGAGAAGGAAGTGCTGGAGGCCAAGCATTCCACCTGGTTCGGGTGTGGTTTGCTAGTCTTCCTGGATGCCAGGCCTGGGAGGATCTACAGGACTTTATCATTCTTCAGATTCAGATCTGGGTGAAGAACCATGGCTTTAAATCATCCTGGGCTCTCTTTGATGTGATACAGAATTTTTATCTAGCAAGGGAGTGAAAAGTCAAATGATTGTGAATGATGGCAGTTTGAATGAGTTGAAAGCATAAAACTGCTACAACCTGCAGACTCATCCCCAGGCCATGGATGGTCCCTAGAAGGGCAGCTCAGCCATCAGGCCATGAGCATTTATGGTTTCTTTCTAGGCCAGGGCTACCCACAGGCAATGCATGGCCCAGGCCCTGGGGGATTGGACAAGAGGAGGTTTCCAGGAACATAAGACAAAAAAGGGCAACAGAAAGCTGTGGATGACAGGGATGAGGTAACTGAGAGGCTGTCCTCCTTAAACCTTTTTTTGGGATAGCCAGGAAGAGGTGGGTCACAGGATTTTATCAAGGTTGTCCCAGTGAGAACCACTGATTTCTATTCCATTCAGCCAGATGACCTACCTTCTTCAGCTCTTGCTTCCTTGCGCACAAAGCACCAAGAGCCAGCTGCTGCACGTGCACCATCATTTCTGTAGAGAGCACACAGCGCTGTGACTGAAAGCTTCCAGTTTGGTCCTCACCCAGCACACACTCTGTTTGGGGCACAGGGACAGACCGTGCGCACCAGATCCTACTAGACTTGACTGCCATCTTCTGGTTACACAGCACCTCTGCACCTCTGATAACAGTAGAAAGGATGGATCTTAAGTTCCTCAAACAGCCCGCACTGGCTTCAGGTCTTTTGACTTACACAGGGCTGTACTCTCCTGCTGAAGAGCTGTTTCAGTACAGTCTAAGCCACAGGAGGAACTAATCTGGTGGACCTCAGGTGGACTCCCCAGTCCCACAGAGGAAGGCAGTTTTGACTATGTTAGAAAAGGCAAATTTTCACCAGATGTTCTGCTGGAGAAGGAGGGACAATCTCCTCCTGTACTAGTCAGATCCAATTTGACGATAAACACACAAAAATAATAAAATAAAATTTAAATTTTTTTTTTTAAAAAAGGCAAATTTTCCAGAAAGATGAAGTCCTTGGTGCCAGACCACAAGCTTCCTTTACGACCTCCCTCTCCCCATCCCTCCTGCGGACCTAAGTACTAATGGGTAGGGTGACACCTATCCCAATTGTTCCAGCCCCCAGTAATGGATTAAGGAAAATCCCAGACTCAGAGTGGAAGGGCATTCTCAGGCATTCGGACAACCAGTGGAGCCAGGAGAATTCATGCAGTAAGGATTGTTGTTGTTGTTGTTGTTATGTGCCGTTGAGTCGCTTGCGACTCATAGCGACCCTATGTACAACAGCCCTAAACTCCGCTCTGTCCTGTGCCAATCGCACTGTCTCTGACACTCCCATCCCAGTCACTGAATCAATCCACCTCATAGAGGGCCTTCCTCTCCTGCGCTGTCCCTCCACCCTCCCAAGCATGATGTCCCTCTCCAAGGACCGGTCTCTCCTCACAACATGTCCAAAGTATGTTAGACGGAGCCTCAGAATCCTTGCCTCCAAGGAGCTACCCGGTTTAACCCTTTCCAGGACAAATCTGTTTTCCTAGCAGTCCATGGAATTCTCAATACTCTTCTCCAGCACCACAGTTCAAAGGCATCAATTCTCCTTCTATCATCCTTGGTCATTGTCCAACTCTTGGATGCATAACAAGTGATTGCGAAGACCATGGCCTGTATCAGACGCACCTTAGTGTGTGTGCAGTAAGGATTAAGCAAGGTAATTCTAAGCAGAGTAAGGACAATGACAAAGGGATTATTTCCTAATTTGTAAAATGGGACCAGCTGGAGGAGAGCTCTTGTGGAGACCGTAGGACACACATCCAGGTGTTTATGTGGTCTGCTATTGTTCATACTTTTTTCCCACATCTTCCCACCTTTGTGGACCAGTATATTAACTAAGCACTCTAGCTCCCAGCTCCGTGAAGCTTTCCCAAATCCCAGCTCTCCCTGATGCCCAGGGGGCCCAGGGCAGAAACAGTACCATCCACGTGCAGAATCTTCACTCCCCAAGAGCGGGCATTGGCCAGGAGGCTGCTGCCACTCCCAGTGCCTCTGCCGCCGCTGCTCCCCTAGAATGACAAAGCAGGGTCAGGCACAAGACTCTCCAAGGTCTCAACACTACGGGGACAGGGTGTTCTGGCTTTGGGGAGCTCAGTCATCACTGTATGCTAAGGGAAGTCAGGCAGGGAAGAGAGACAAGAGGATATCTTGTCCTGGCTCGTGCTGCTAATTGGCCTGAATGTTTTTCTCTGGCCATTGTGAAAGTAGGAAGGCACATAAGCCCTTAAGAAGGCTGTTTGTTCGGTGAGAACAGCACTCAGTGCACAGCAAATATACTATAAACACCAGTGATCATTATCACAACAGGGGGAATGCTGGCTGCAAACTTTTCCTGTCCTGCTGCCTCAATCTGGAAGTACTGCCGTCCCTCACCAGCCCATGCACCTGTCTTAATGGTACTTTAATCACACCTCTCAACTCATAAGTCTCTTTAACTCCTTCTCCAGCCACTTAACTATAATGGCCCTGGAGTCTAACAGCTTCTTGTAAAAGGTGTACAAAATCTGCCTTATGTGAAAAGCAGACGTTAACCCACAACATTACTCTGAAGTCCTCATGGAGCCTCTGGTGTTAGAAACATCAGGAGTCAAATCCTGGCTGTACCAATTACTACCTGGGTGACGCTGGTCCAGTTACTTAATGTCACTGGACGTCTACTTCCTCATCTTCAAGAAGATAGTAATACTGCATATCCATCTCACAGTGTGTGCAATTCATGTTAGCACTTTGGAAAAACCACAGAGGAGGGGCCCGTGAGGAGATGCCTCGCTCCACGCTGCTGCCCTGGCTCACCTGGTTTCTGATGGCCTTTTGCAGCAGCTCTTTCCCTCTGCTCATTGGCACCTGATAGGAAGACAATATAGTCATGATGCATGCTACAGGGCTGTGCACAGATATTCATACAGGTGCTAGTGAAAATGTTTTCGGGTTATGTTCCCCACAAAGTAGTGAACAGTTACAGCGAAGAAACGGCAGAAATGAGAACCGTTAAAGGGCAGAGGCTAAGTCACCCATCAAGCCAAGTCACACTCAGGGAGTACCCAGGGTAGCGGGACCCTGGTGGAGTGAAGCGTTCTAAATTCCTCCAGAGCAATTGCTCCAAGTGTTCTAAGTCCTCTTGCTAAGAGCCCTTGTGCTCTTGGGGGGAAAACACACAGCAAATGTTTCTTTTAGAAAAGGGTTGGGTTTTATCCCCCTCCTTGGAACTGTTGCCCTTCACCACAATGCCAATAATACAGGTTTATGAATATTTTTATTCTTTGCCAAAGTAAAGCAAAACCAGGAATGTTAATGTAGCGGAAAAGATGCAGAGGAGTCTAAGTCAAAGACACAGCATGTGCATAGTCCAGACTATTGGCCTTCCACATGTGAGAGCAAGGGGGAGAGGAATCATTGCCTCCACGGGCTCTCCTGCCCAAGAGACCAGGCCAACACCACCAAGCCTTCTCTCGGCACAAAAGACTCTACTGTCTTTGAATCTCTTGACTCTGAAGTCACTTAAAAGAGAAGATACATCATAAAAGTGCTAAGATTGGATAGCATGTTATTTAGGTGTTTATGTCCAGAGCTTTGAAAAATATTTTCAGTACCTGATTTACATGAGCTTTTAAAACCACATTAAGCTACAGTCAGACACTGTCTAAGAGGGTTCACCAAGGCCCATTTCTTTTGTTTACAGAGCACAGCTTTCCATCTCCCGCAGGTTCTTACCAAGTCCACAGGCTTCTGTGAGGGTGTGGCAGGGCTGCCTTCTGGGTTGGCTGAGGATGGTGTTTCTCCCACTCTGACCTCGCTGGGGTTGGGGCAGCTTCTGTGGCTTGTCCTATTGCTCTCTGTCTTCACCTCCCTTCGACTGGACACGATGTAACTCACTTCTTTGCTCAGAAAACCCTCAATTACCTGAAACCAGATCACAGAGATGGCTAAAAACCAAAAGGCAGACATAGAATTGTCAATATCAAGAGGCTGGGGAAGGAAATCTTGGCTGCCAGAAGCTCTAGAATCAATATCTTTAAATAGACCAAATGCAACATCATATCAAGCCTCCAGGAAAACAACCTAAGAAGTGAAAGGGGAAAGAAAGTTTTGTGTTTCCAAAACAGCTGCTTCTGCTCTGACAGCAAAAAGCTTTGAGTTATTTGACCAGTCTGTGTTTAAATAGAGCAAAACCACACATGATTAACTGGCATGTGTTAAAGCCACCAGTTTTTGGTGTAACAGTACAAGGCTACTCTGATACTACATACATTATCCTGACCACACGTCAAAAAGCAGCCTGAAAAGTGAAAACAAGGGCTTAGGCTCCCGTAGTACTCAGCTGAGCAGGAATCGGCTCACTGCTAGACTCAGAAGACCTGACTCATCTTTGCATCTCAAGAACCAATATGATGCCTGCAGCATGACACTTAACTCATGTTTGTGGATAAAAGATAGACAATGGCAAGCTGGTAAACAGTCAACAATTGACTCTCAACACTTGCTCTGTAGCATTTGCTGGTTTCTTGGGGTAAGTAATCCTCTATGACTGGTCTCCAGCTGCCAACACTATATGTGGAATTGGGAAGAGATGCTAACAATTGGCTGTCATGAACCAAAACCAACCAGTTCTAGCTCACCACAGAAAATAAGGGTGAATGAGACCTAGGAAGCGTGACTGGATGGGAAACTTGACACTTATGTTTAAAAAATTAAATCCTTAAAGTTATGGCTTCAAGCACCTTAACAAGAAAAAGGTAAACAACCCAATCACAAAATGGGCACAGGCTATGAACAGACACTACACCAAAGAAGATATTCAGATGGAAACAAAAACATTAAGAAATGTTCAAAGTCCTGGACTGCAATCCAAGTGGTGCACAGTTCGAATCCACCAGAGGCTCTGCTGGAAAAGGAGGAAAAATCTCCTCCTGTACCAGTCAGATCTGATTTGACAGTATGCACCAAAAAAAAAAAATAATAAATAAATAAATGTTCAAAGTCCCTAGCTCTCAGAGGGATGCAAATCAAGACAAATGAGATAGCATCTCACCCCATCAACAATAGCAAAGTTCAACAGAGCAGCAAACAACAAATGCTGATGTTGTGGAGAGACTGGAACTCTTACTCACTGCTGATGGGAATGTAAAATGGTACAGCCATCTTGAAAGTGGTCTGGTGCTTTCTCAAAAAGTTGGAAACAGAAATACCATTTGATCCAGTAATTCCACTACTGGGAATATACCCTAAAGAAACCAGAGCCACAACTCAAACAGATGTATGTACACTCATGTTTATTGCTGCATTATTCATAAGAGCAAAAAGATAGAAGCAACCCAAGTTCCTATCAACAAACACATGGGTAGGAAAAACTATGGTACATTCACACAATGGAATATTATGCAGCATCGTAAAACAATGAACTCATAAAACATTATACAACATGGGTGATCCTGGAGGACATAATGCTGAGTGTATTTCTGACACAAAAGGACAAACACTGCATAACACCGCTGTTATTAAATAGGACAGATGGGGAAGTGGGGAAAGAATGGGAAGAGTGGATAACGAACACTGCATTACAACAGATAAAGAGAAGAAATGTCCCAAAAAAATATATGATTAGGTATTATATGTAGGACAACAATCTGAAACAAGGGGTGTATTGTGTGAGAAAACAAGCAACAATGAAAAGAAATGTATTTTTTTTTAAAAAAAAGCAAAAGCTTAAAGGGAGCTCTGGTGGCCTAGTGGCAAGAAGCTGCACTGCAATCCCAGAGGCACGTGGTTCAAATGCACCAGATACTCTGCTGGAGGAGAAACAGTCTTCTCCTGTACCAGTCAGATCCAATTTGAGGTTATACACAGACAGACAGAAAGACAGATACAGACACAGACACACACACACACACTCGAAAAATAAAAAGCCTTGTTGTTGTTATGTGCCATCGAGTCGCCTGCGACTCATA